TCAAGATTTGAAACTGGAGCTTGTGAAATAGTTTTTTTTTAATGTCCAATGGGGGAGAGGGTTCCAGAGTATGGGTGCTGAGAGACTGAATGTTCCTGAGCTGATAGTGGTCAAATGAGCAGGTGATAGGGTGAGATGGTGGAGGGGAAAGACCTGCTAGTCCAGGTGCATGTGTTAATGCAGAAAAGTTCAGTGAAATACTGAGGTGTGAGGTTGTAGAGGACTTTGAAGGTGAGGAACAGGATTTTGAAAGAAATGTGATACTTAATGGAGAGCCAGTAAAGATGCTGCAGAAAAGGTGTTATATGAACCACCTGGTGGTGTGGATTCTGGAAACGATGCGAGCGGCATTGTTTCGGATCTTTTGGAGTTTATGGATGGATTTTGTAGGTAAACCAAAAAGAATAGAGTAACGGTAATCTAGGATAAAGAGTGAACCAGAGTAGAGATGCATTCGGTCCCAAAGAATCCAACCCAACCCAGCTCCAGTCCGTAGTCATCATTTCTGAAACCCGACCTGACAAATTAACAGTAATTACAGGTCCGAATCCAACCCCCCCCCCCAACATTTTTAATTAAGCGTTGACTGCTTATATAGTTATTAATAGTCAGCGGACACGTGCAGTTAAGGGGGGGCAAAAGATCGGAGCTGAGGGGATGTTTGTCCTTTCATGGCCATCAAAGTGCATTAAATCCCTGCTTCTGCCTGCATTCTGCATTATTCAGACACAGGCCCTGCTCTGACATGTCAAATATTTTGGGATCTGTCCTGTTCGAGTTTTCGGCCATGCGTGTCCGCTGAATGCAGCTGAATCTTTTTTTTTTAAATGACACCACCACCTTCTAAAGGAATGAACAAAGATGTCTCATTTGTTTGAATGTCTTTATTTACTTTAACTGAACAATTTTTTACCTCTTTCAAGGCCGGTCAGTACGCAGTCAAATGGCCAAATGTGGCAAGTGATGGTATGGCAAGTCATGTTGCCATATAATTGGATCGTCAGCCGTGTGTGTCTGCTCACACAATAAAAAGCCCAACACCGACCTGGCCTGCACATTAAGCACATTACTATGGTCCGGTCCGACCCTAATCCAGGTTGGGCCGGGCCGGGCCGGGCCGGGCTCCGGGTTCGGTTTAGAAATGACAACTCTAAACCAGAGTAGTAGCACTGCTGTGTGAGAGGGATGGACTGAGATGAGGAATGTTACGGAGGTGAAAATCGACTGAATGAGTGAGGTTACAGATATAAAGCAAGTTTTGAGCAACCAAACATATGATTTAATTTAAGTTACTGTTTCTGTTATTTATTTATGTTTTGAATGATTAAAACAGGGCAGCATGGTGGCACAACTGGTAGAGCTGCTGCCTCTCAGCGAGCAGGTCCTTGGTTCAAACCAAACCCAGGGACCTTTCTGGGTGGAGTTTGCATGTTCTCTCCGTGCATGCGTGGGTTTTCTCTGGGTGCTCCGGTTTCCTCCCACATACCAAAAACATGCATGTTAGGCTGAATGGTAACTCTAAAATTGTCCCTAGGTGTGAGTGAGAGAGTGAATGGTTGTTTGTCTCGTTTGTCTCTATTGCCCCTTTTCCATTAGTACCTGTAGTACCGGTACAGCACGGCTATGTGGCCCTGTGATGGACTTGCTACCCGTCCAAGGTGTACCCCACCCCTTGCACAATGATTGCTGGACATGGGCACCAGCGACCACCGTGACCCAAAATGGAATAAGCGGGTAAAGAAAATGGATGGATGGATGTTTTTAGTTTGCTGTTTTATGATTGTAACAGTTCAATACTTTTACGGTATCTGTTGATTTTGAGGTTTTTATGAGTGCTTTGTGTGTGTTAGTGTACAGCACTTGGGCCAACAGTGTTGTTTTTAAAGTGCTTTATAAATAAAGTTGTTTTGTATATACAAACCCTTTCCAAAATAAATTAGAATGTCATGGAAAAGTTGTCCGCAGCACGGTGGCGCAACTGGTAGAGCTGCTGCGGCAAGCAGGTCCCTGGTTCAAATCCCAGTCCGGGGGCCTTTCTGGGTGGAGTTTGCATGTTCTCTCTGTGCATGCGTGGGTTTTCTCCGGGTACTCTGGTTTCCTCCCACGGACCGGAGCCATGCATGTTAGGCTGATTGGTAACTCTAAATTGTCCCTGGGTGTGAATGAGAGAGTGAATGGTTGTTTGTCTCGTTTGTCTCTATATGGCCCTGTGATGGACTTGCGACCCCTCCAGGGTGTCCCCCGCCCCTCGCACAGTGATTGCTGGACATGGGCACCGGCGACTCCCATGACCCCCCTAAAAAATGGAAGAAGTGCATGGGTAAAAGATAATGGATGGATGGAAAAGTTGTTTAACTTCCATAATTCCATTAAAAAGTTAATCTTTAATAGATGATGGATTCAGGGCCCACAATTTAAACAATTTCAAGTATTTATTTGTTTATTTTTACATAATTTGGACAAACGGTTCATGAAACCCACAAAAACAGGATTTCAAAAATCAGAACACTGTGAAGACATCAGCCCACACTACTCAGTTTTTGCAGAAAATAAATAAATTAGGATCACAACAAAATCAATCAAAATATGGTACTTTCAAAATGATATGTCAGTCTTCTATATTTGGTTGGGAATTCCTTTGCCTTAATCACTGCCTCGATGTGACGTTGCATTGAGACAATCAGCCTGTGGCACTGACTGGGAGTTATGGAAGCCCAGATTTCCTTGATGCTGTCAGCTCTTCTCTGTTGTTGGGTCTGGTGCCCCTCATTTTCCTCTTGAGAATACCCCATAGATTCTCAATGGGGTTTTGGTCCGGTGAGTTGGCTGGCCTGTCAAGCACTGTGTCATGGGCATCAAACCAGGTTTTGGTGCTTCTGGTGGCATGGACAGGGGCCAGGTCCTTCTGGAAGATGAAATCTGTATCTCCATACAGATCCTCAGCAGAAGGAATCATGAAGTCCTCTAAAACATTCTGGTACACTGTTGCAGTGACCTTGGATTTAAGAAAGCAGAGTTTACCAACACCTGCACCGGACATTGCACCCAAATCATGACTGTGGATATTTCACACTGGACCTCAAGCAGTATGGGCTCTGTTCCTCACCCTTCTTCCTCCAAATCCTTGGACCTTGATTCCTGAATGAAAGGCACACTTTACTTTCATCGGAAAAGAGGACGGAGGAACCCAACAGTTGTAGCCCATCTCCCGGATACGTCTGAATGTGATGATGTTTGAAGCGGTTACTCCTGTCTCATTCCACTCTTTCTGGATCTCTGCCATATTCTGGAATATTCTCTGTTTGATAATCCACTGAAGCCCACGGTCATCTCTTTTTCTTTTTTTTTCTGGTGCATCTTCTCCTGCCACATTTTGCCCTTCCACTAGACTTTCCATTGATGTGCTTGGACACAGCACTCTGTGAACAGCCAGCCTCCTTACCCATCCTATGGAGAGTATCAGTGATGGTCTTCTGGCCAGTTGTTATGTCTGCAGTCTTCTCCATATTGAACTGAACTGAGACAATTGAACCAAATTGAAGCAATTGAATGACACCTGGGGAAACCTGTGCAGGATCTTTGAGTTCAATAGATAATTAGTGTCACACTCAGTTTAAAACATTCATGTCCTGCAACATTTGGGCTGATTTCTCCACAGTATTCTAATTTTTTTAAATCATGCTTTTGTGGGTTTCATGAGCTGAAAGCCCAAATTATGTAAAAATAAACAAATAAATACTTGAAATGGTTTAAATTGTGGGCCCTGAATCTATAATCTTTTAAATATTAACTTTTCAAATGGAATTATAGAAGTTAAACAACTTTTCCATGATATTTTAATTCTTTGGAAAGGGTCTGTGTATGAACGCTTCTGTGCAGTGCCTTGAGATGACTTCTGTTGTGACTTGGCACTATATAAATAAACTGAAGAGAAGTGAATTAAACGTGTGTTTTTAATGTGTTAAAAACAAAACGTTTTTCACATTTCAATAAAAATTTGAAAATGAAGCTTCTTATTGTGTATATCCAAAATAGATATGGATTCAATTTAAGTCACTTTAATTACTCATTCATTTACCACACAATCAAATTAAAAACTTGTTTTGTTTAATTTCTTGCTTTATTTGCTTCTAAAATCAGCTGCAGTTGACAACAGAGGTTTTCACATCTCATCATTATCACATCTTCATACAACTGTAGTTTACAAACTGTTTAACACATCAACAGAATGACAGCACAAACTGAAACTGTTCCTTCCCTAAACATTATTTACTTTTTTAAAAATTTCATCATGTTAAGATCATTGAGGCATGAGAGGAAAGTACAACTCTCATTTTAGCTACTTATTTATTATCTCTGTTCAT